AGAATACTTCCTAACACAAACACCTGCTGCTCTCATTAGCTGCAGCTAGTGTGCTTGAAAATCTATTTTTAGAATCCAGATTTGCTGTGGGAAACTCCATAACACTGACCACTGCAGCTAGTGTGCTTAAATTGAACATTGTAGAATCCAGGTTTGCATTGCTGGTAATATGTACGGAAGCCCATTAGTGCCAGCCTGTATTTATACATGTAAATAGGAAAAGCAATATACACTTTTAATTAATTTTGAACCGAACATGGAGACATGTAATATTCAATTTGTTAAGATGTAAAATAAACTGAATATATAATTAAGGTATGGTGTCCAAATGTATGGAAAAATGCTCAATTAACTCGAGCGAGTCAACTCGCAGGCCCTTCAGGCCTTTGATTTTTTGTTAAAGTAAGAAAAATATAGGGAAATATTACATGTATTTATTTATTTATTTAGGCCTTATTTATTTGTCTAAATAAATCATTCAATAGATGTTGCATTAAATTTCATGATGGATTAATTTTGAATACGTGAATATTTTCACTCTATATCAGATATTAAATGTTATTTAATTATCTAATTACCGCTGTGTGTAAAATAAATCACTTAATAGAACATATATATAACCTGTAGTTAAACGGGGTGAAACCACTCAGTGCGATACCACTCAGCGCGAACCCACCTGTGACCAAAACAGGCATTTCCTACCAGTGAGCTTTGTCAACATAGAAAGAGACATACTCGCATTAGCCTCACAAAGATGTTTTATGTGATTTTCTTTCACTTCATTGATTAAGTTGCTGACTGCTGTCTTTAAGCTGTGTAAGTCAGTTTTAATATTTGTTTTTTTTATATAATTCAGGTTGGAGTAAGAGGGAATAATATTGTCGTGTTAGGGGTAGAGAAGAAAGCTGTAGCAAAGTTACAGGAAGATAGGACTGTGAGGAAAATTGCCTTATTGGATGATCATGTAGCATTGGCATTTGCTGGTATGTTCAATTTTTTTTTTTTTTGATTAATCAAAGTATTTGGATATTTTGTTTTAAATTTTTGAACCTCAATAAAAACCCTTTGTCCTTCAATGTATCCTGCACAATTTGATATCTTTGTCACGTGGTTTTGAGGTTTGGGTGGACTTACTGTTACAGTAGAGTACTTTAATGCAGATTAACACTCTCTACCATCGGCTCAAAAATCAAAAATCTTGACGTGAGCCCATTGCAGAGGTGTCTGAGAGAGGAACGAACGACAACTCTGCATGGGAGGTTGGCAGATTAACAGAAATCTGAATTCTCTGTACATAGTTTTGAATACAAATATTAAACTAGATCATGCAAATTTACATGCAACTGAATTACTGTATTTGTTATTTGACCTGACTCTTTTATTTGTGTAGAATGTTGTACATTGCTTTTGCATATACCATATGTACAAGAATTCTTCAAAAAAGTCTAAATTTTGTTTTTGATGTATTTTCAAAGGATTGACAGCTGATGCTAGAATTTTGATCAACAGAGCTCGTGTTGAGTGTCAGAGTCACAAACTCACAGTGGAGGACCCTGTCACACTGGAATACATTACAAGATACATCGCACAGCTCAAACAGGTATTGACATTGCACAATGAACAGGTATTTACACTGCACAACTTACACAGGTATTTACTGATCACACAACTCAAAACAGGTATTGACATAGCACAGATATTTACATTGCACAACTCAAACAGGTATTGACATAGCACAACTCAAACAGGTATTGACATAGCACAGGTATTTACATTGCACAATTCAAACAGGTATTTACTGATCACACAACTCAAACAGACTTTATTCCTTGATTTCTCAGACAAATCTAATAGGAATGATATAACAATACGGTGAAAAACTCGAAGGAGCAAAGACACAAAATGTACCATCTTGGTTTACAAAGGTAATAAAGAATAACTAAAACAGTCATTTATTAAACAAAAAATGGATGTAATTATGCACCTCATTGTTTTAAATATGTCATTTTCTGCATGAAAAATGAATTAAAAGTATTTGATTTGTAGAAATACACCCAAAGCAATGGTAGGAGGCCTTTTGGATTATCAGCTCTAATTATAGGATTTGATTACGATGGTACACCACACCTATACCAGACAGACCCATCAGGGACCTATCATGAGTGGAAGGTATGTAGTTATCAGAGTCTCTATACCCCAATTCTGCTGAAGGATAGAGGAGAGGTGGAAAGGGGGGGGGGGGGTTGCATTGCTGCTGTCGATCTGTCTCTCTGTTGGTGGGTTAACCAACAGTTTCTGTTTATTTTATTCGCAGAGGCTGCAAATGCTGAAATGAAATTATGTTTAATACAGATTTATCATAAGAATATTTATGTTAAGTTCCGTTTTAGGTACTGTCAAACAATTTTGGACAGAGTTATGCCCCTTGGACATGGATAAATTCCAATTATTTGTGATATCCATTCATTATTTGGGCAGAGGTTGCACATACTGAAAAGAAATTTGGCATACAGATTTTCCATAAGAATATATAGATCAAGTTTTGTATTGTGTATGATCGAGTCATTGTGGACAGAGTTGTGCCCCTTGGACTTAGAGAAAAAAAATATTTGCAGTTTTCCTTCAAGCCTTACTACTGTTTTGTTCTCAATACTTTAACTTAACAGAATACTTAATTAATGATTTCAGGCCAATGCTATTGGAAGAAGTGCTAAACCTGTGCGAGAATTTTTAGAGAAGAGTTACACAGATGAAGTAGCCGGGAATCAGGAGGAGTGTATAAAACTGGCACTGAAAGCTTTACTAGAAGTCGTCCAGTCTGGTGCCAAAAATGTCGAGTTAGCTGTGATGAGAGACAAGGAGCCATTAAAGGTGAGTACATTGTAGTACAGTTGAACTTCAATATCTCCAACATTGATATCTCAAATACAATATATATGATGAAGTGATTTGAAAGTCCCAACCATTTATTCTTAACTATTTTACTATCTGTATCTCTAATCATTGGATATCTCAAAGTTTTTCCTCAGTCCCATCGAGCTTAAGATAAAGATATTTGACTGTATTCTATATGGTGTTTTTGATGTTGTGGTACATGGTAAAAATTTTAGTTGAAAGTTGAACTTTTTTACCCTGATATCTTGAATGCATGGAATATGTTGGGAGTGCTTTGGCAGTCCTAATCTCCTTTTCTTTGTTTTTGAATCCCAATCTAATTAAAATTACATATTACATCTGCTCGCAAACACACTACACTAACACATAACAATAGCTCATAGAGGGTTTCGTCAGAGGTCAAATTTGGAACAACTGTATAAACTTATTAGCTTCAACAAATATATGACAATTTTACAGGTGATGATTTGATTGGTTAATAGAATTTGACCTCTGACGTGACCCTCAGTGGGATGTTAGATGTTAGTGACTCTAACATTTAATTTTAATTAGATTGTTTGAATCCTTGCTTTCTGGCATCCTTGGTTATCTCAAAGTCTTATTTCAGTCTCACTGAGTTAGAGACAACAAAGTTTGATGGAACATTTTCCTAGGTTATTTGATTTTAAATTTAATTTAATGTACTGTATCCTTGCCTGTACTTTTTATAAAATATGTAAAAAAAATATTTCAGATGCTAGAATTAGAGGAGGTTGAGAAATATATTGCAGAAATAGAAAAAGAGAAGGAGGAAGAAGCAGAGAAAAAGAAACAAAAGAAATAGTGACTTGTGTATTTTGTTACATGTTTACTGTGTCTGATTGTCAGTGCTATTTTGTTAGATCACATCTCATGTCATTAAATAACTCTACAATAGAAATTTGGTGTTTAAATTTTATCTAGATACAAATGATGCCTCTCTGTAATATAAGGAAGCTCTAAAATACTAATGAATGTTTTATTTTACCTTTAAGAAAAGGTTTACGTACTGTATACAGGGTTATTTTCGCCCTTTTGCACTTGCGAACAACTTCACTCCGTTTTAAATTCGCCCAGTCATAGTTCTGTTTATGAAATTTTGCTGTGTTCTTTGAATTCGCCGTTTGAAATACACCCAGTCATGGAGAGAGCGAGAATATAATGGGGGCGAAAATTTCCCTGTATACAGTATTGAGTTTATCTACCGGTAGTTCGTTTTCAATATAAGTTACACCAGATACCTGCAGTAGGGAAACTACAAACTAAAATGCACAGATATCTTGGTGGTTACTATAGATTCCATTTTACATGTATGGTTGGACAGGGAATTGAACCCAGAACCCCTGCATCACTAGTTAGATTCTCAACAAACTAAGCTACATATGACACCAAGCCCTAGACAGAATTTTCAAAGTGTGTGGTTGGATGGGAATTGGATTTAGATCTCCAGTATTGTTAGTCAGGTGTTCTACCAACTAGCTGCTACTTATGCCAATATCCATGCTGATGTCTTTTAACATTGTTTACTATCCAGGATCATTTTCAAATAACTTTTAATTCTGATATTAATGCATGGCAAAAGTGTAGATTGACCCTTGAACTTTGTATCTAAAAATTGACCTTGAGACATCAAATTTTATAGGGACTCATATCTACTCATTAGGAGAAACTTGTGCACCAAGTCTCAAGTCTGTCAAATAAAGGTTTCTCAAGATACTGAAATAACTGAATAGTCAACACTTGAATGGTCAATTGGTCTACCAACCCATCTTCATTTCACAAAAGAACTTATGACTAAGACCACAAATTTTTGTTGATTGTAAAATTTTGCAAAATTAAGGATTCTGCTGAAAATTGCAAGGGTTATAAGATCTTTCTACATCCCTTTTAAAGAGATTAAAACCGTAAATTATAAAGATAAAAGAAGAGCAAAATTTTGGTCTTAGTCGTAAGTTCTTTTGTAAAACAGGCCCCAGGTGCATACAATACACCCCCCCCCTTTTTAAAAGGAGTCTTAAGAAACACAACCAATGCTACAAAGAATCAGTACAGAGTTGTATAAAAATAAAACATTAATTCATCCGAGATCAAAAAGCAAAAACTTTATTACCTTTATGTCTTAATAAATACATGTACCCCATATGTTTTACTGGTATGACCATATGTCCAAATAATGAATAATTTAAATATGGATGTTGACAGCATGGCAACTTGCTCAATTTGTTCATATTTACTTAATTGCAGGTTTAAATATTTTAATTTTTAAACACTCACAAAATACAGTAGACTTATATACTCCTACAGTTTGCTAGGTGAGCTGCATAATATTCACTTCATCAACATACATGCATCGCTCAAATAAAGTGAATATCTATTTTCACTCTGTCAGTAAAAACACCCCAAAAATGTTCAAAATCCATAAACTTCCGAGTACATTTCCATTTGTCCATACCACACCACCTGGTGAGGACTGTCTTTTTTGCTGATCTGACAATGCAGGGTCAGAGGGGCCTCCCCCTCCCACGTCTCAGAGACCAAACTGTCCCCCCAACAGCTGGGGGAGACGTACAGCATTGTGACCTTCTTTATGTGAAAATCATGAAAACTAGTCCTGATTTTCCTGTAGAAACCTCGTTGAGAAGCAATGCTGGAATTTTCCACAAAGTATCTGAGGTAGGAAGCACATCTTGTGTGATCAGAAAAGTCTGTGTCGTGACTAGGCACAGCAAACTCATGACGGAAAGTGCTCAATGGCTTCAACGCTGGCTCCACATTCATCAGAGAAGTCTGTTTGTTTTCCTCTAACATGGATTCAAACTCATTTTTCCACCAGTCAGGCAAAGCTACTTTCTTCCTCTCTCCTATATTCACCAATGTGTGGAGGTTCTTGATTCGGATAGAGGGCTTCAGATCCCCTCCGCAAGCCACTTCACTGACCGTGGAAAAGGAAGAATCTCCGACTCCTGCCAGTTTAATGGAAACATCCAGTGGAGTTTTGGGAGTTGTAGTCTCATAAAAGGTGCTTTTGGCTTCATATTTGCAAGCTTTGACAAAGGAGATATGGCTTGATTTATACAGTTGGTCATACTTTAGAAATGATTCCTCATTGAAGAAGGCAGCATTTTCAATTCTGTTGACCATGTCAAATATTCTCCAAGTATCAGGCTGACCTGAAGAAAAGAAAAGATAGCAGCTATGTTTATTCTGTGTCACAAATTCATTATTTGCATGCTTATTTTCTATATGTTCAGTATGGCTTGAATTCCTTTCCTTTACTCTGAAGTCTTTTCAAGAACTCAACTAGGATGCCTGTAAAAGTTAAATCATGCAAAATCAAGAAAAAGATATCTGCATATTGTGAATTACAGTTGAACTCTGTTATCTGGAACCTCAATATTCTGAATACCCTTGATATGTCAAAGTGAGTTAAAAGTCCCAACTATGTTTATATGTTGTTAACCTCAATGAAGCTTATTTTTTCAGGGAGAGAATTAACTTTCTTTCAAGACTATATTCTTCCTCTAAACATCTATAATATTAAATTTTCATTTGTGATGTAACATCAGACTAACTTCTAACATTGAAATAACATACCTGTGAAATCGATATCATCGTACCGCAAGCCTGGCATAACAACATCCACTTCGTTTCTCCCGGCGTTTACATTTATCTTCAGCTTCAGAGATGGATAAGCCCTGAAATAAAACAAATGGTTGTTGATTATCATTTACACATTCACCTGTAGGTCTTCAATGAAGTCCTAGGTACTCTAGTTTGTTGCATTAAATTTGTCTCCTTTCGCGTAACATATATTTTAATCAGTTTATTCTTTACTAAGTTCAGATTCAATTAAAACTAATAACTTTCAAAATTAAACTTGATTTAAAATACTAGAAAACATGCTTTATTTTATGTTAACAGATTTGTTTATATCAAGTTCATTAATGAAAGTTTTACATCTTTCAATGGCATCAGAGTGTCAGGGGAAAATCTTCATAATAAAGTCATTCCTTTTAGGCTATAACCATGGCCTTTCGGGTTTTTTCGGATAATTTCGTAGAAATTGGTGCTTGTTTCCAATTACAACGCATTTGATGTTCTGTCCACATAAATCTTTCAACTTCCCCGTTTGCCCTGCCAACAAAATACCAAGACTGGGATGACACTTGATATTTGTTACACACGCTCAACTAAATTTCGAACAGACTTCGTCTTTGAGAGAAAGAAAAACCACTGTCAATTTCAACGGATCACTGAAGGAAATTCGGACCAAAATTATGTTTTACTCATAATCGAAGATAAAAGCATATCTTTGAGCAGTCATTAAAATTATTACTATATCGTTCTGAACCATTAGCAAAATACTTAATCCTTTACCTCAGAAAGCGTTTGATTGATTTGTGAAACAACTTCATGTTTTCTGCGTTTCTCACAGCATCATGCTGTCCTCCACATATTGAAAGGCGCCAAAATTTGAATTAGAAAAACGCGCATTCAAATACTGACGTTTTGCTAGAAACGTTTTAGGTCAAAACTTTATTCGAGGAAAAGTATACATTGTTGTCTACAAGTTTTGCTCTAAATTTGTCTGCGACTTTGACATGGTTACTGAACTAGTGATATCTTTCGACATGGAATGATGAATTCCAGTTGCTTGAATAAATAAATCTCTTACAAAATAACCCTAAATGATTTAAAGACATGTTCAACTGAATTTAAGAAGTTTAAACAAAGCATCAAGGTGAAGGGCATTAATATGAATTTAATTCTTTCTTTCCATATTAAAATTGTGTTAGTAGGAGATTTGTTTTTTCTTTTGTAATAGATCTACTCATAACATCTTGTGATTATTGAAAACTATAGTATTTTGCGGATATCAAATGACTACCAGAACCCCATTCAAAGCATAAGAATTGAAAAGTTTCATCTCTTAGAATAAAAAAAAATGCAAAGTGTCTGCATGTGGAATAAACTACCCTTTTGGCATGTGCCTGGTTTGATTTGCTCATCTTCAGATTCCTTTATAACTCTAGCTTCCAAATCTTTTAATCTTCAAAGGATCAGATCTTCTGTATTGCACACATGGTATGACAAGTCTGATTGCCTTCTTACATAGCCCCAAAAATAGTTGGAACAACATTTAATTAATATTGAAAAAAACACAGGCACATGCAATCATGACTTTGTTTGCTTTATCAACACCATGAATACACCAGGTAAGGCCTATACACACCCACAGGTCTATTTGGATTAATCTTTATATGAAATTGTTCAAATCCTTGCAACAGCAACTTATCTGTCAGTAGCCTGCCTTAAATATTGAAAGCACTTGGAGCATGCTTTCAAATAAGTTAATATGCAGGTGATAGCAAAATACTGCTGTAGTTGAAATCATTTTGTTTGTCATATAATTTAGTTGTTAGTTGGCCTTTTTGTCTATAGTCAGTAAAACATCCAAAAAATATATACGACAAACTCTGTTGAATATATTGTGTCGATGTATGAATGGAACTAACTTTTGTTAATTGATAATTCAAAATGACAAGATGGAGGCAATAGCATTTTCTTCTCCTCAGGTAGACGTTTTTGAATTAATTCCGATTCATAGGAAACTACATGTAAAAAATAAAGGAGCACAATAAGTGTCCATGGCATTCTCTAACAGTTTGATGAAGAATCTCATCTCCAAAGACTATATCATAAATTAGATGTGGTCAAAGAGGTTTCCAAGAACCATTTTGATATAAGCACAAATCTATGTCACATGATGGTTGTATTTTATTTGCTGTCCAATGAAAATTTCAAAGATATTAATTAGGTTTACTAACAATCATCTTGATATTGTTTATTTATAGAAATCTCAATCTTGACTGTGGCCTAGATCAATCATGCAAAAGAAATTAATACATGTATAATAGTTGAAACAATTCATGAATACAATTTGAAGATTTACTGTTCTGTACATAATATCATATTTATATGGTATATGGCAAAACTGAAAATGTCCCCCCCCCCCCCAAAAGACATTTATAAAAAATAATAGCAATATACTAGTACATGTGTAAATCAGGTTAACAAATCATTAGAATCAATGATCACATTCTAATATTAGCTGTCATTCTTCTACAATGTACATATTAATGATATTCTTTAAGCCTACAATTAATAAAATTAATTAATTAAACTACAAATGATAAAATAAATTAATTCAATAAATCACAGCCATTGTCTTTTAAAAACAAAAAAAACAAAATATGGCAGATATAGCTGTTGACTAGCAGCATAACAATCATATATAGTAGCATGCAAAGATACATAAAAAATCAGTCATTTTGTTACAGAAGTCACTGAGAGGACTGCACTAGTAAATCTATGTCTTCCAATTTAGTTCCTGAAAGAAACATGCTATTCTGAGATTATGACTTCCTCCCTAACATGGCAGAAATTCTTCTCCTGGTTGTTTCCAGTGAGTTCCCTTTGAATTTGCCCGCTGGTTTAGCCTGTTCCCCTTGGTAGGACACTGTACTACCACTGCCCACTGTTAGTTCCCGGACTGGGCCTTTGGGGGGAGACGGGAAAAGTTTGTTTTCGATTTCCTGAGGGGACTTGCGTTCGACCTCTTTTGGCTGTGAGGGAGCAGAGGAGGTATTGGAGGAGAGAGAGGCACTGCTTTTGGCTGTTGAGTGGCGAGAGGAGCTGACTGAACTGTAGCCACCTGTAGGAGAGGGACAAAAACATACAGTGGAATAAGTTTATAGATATCATGACTGTATAACATACTTTTCTTATCACGAAATCATATTAAGTTTATCAACTGGTACAAACTGATGAAATTTTCAATGGATATAATTGTATTAGACATAATGAAGTAATAAATGGTTGTCCCTGAAGTTATATATAGTCATTTGGTTTAATTTGGGCATCTCATATATTTAAGAAATATTTAAAGATGTCATTTTTAGAGTTTCACTGGGGTAGGAAATGAAGTCGGTCATGTGATCAAACTTTATAATGCCTGAAGGGCGTTATTGATAATTGAATGCAAAGAATATGCAGAAGTGAATTTACAGTCCCCAAAATATTTTTTAAAGTCTTATGTCCCTTTAATTTCCAGATGTCAAGGTTTTACTGTATGTTACTGAGCAAAAAATATTTTAATAGGAAATAAAGATTAAGGACACTGTTAATGTATGTTGAAGTAAACAATAATATATATACATAGTTATTGGAAATCTTTACAGTAAGAAATATGAAAATGGTGATGATGATCAAGTGGTCCTAAATAATATGAGATATGACACTAAATACTGAGTCATTTACCTGATGGTTTCTTCAGCTGTAATAACTCTTCTTTAACTTCACTTAATTTCTCTGTCAATTCAAATCTCTCTTCACATTCTTTCCTTACTGTGTCTTGAAGAAATATAACCTGAAAAATTACATGAAGAAGGTAAACTTATTCTCTAATTTGAGTGCATATATAAATTGTGCTTGGACTGCATATAATATATTAACAGTTGATAAGTATGGCATTTCTCTCAAGAATTATGTGACTTTTATGCAACTTAAGAAAGAAAATATTATCGTAAAAAATAAAGTTACTAGATAGATAGATAGAAGGGTGGAAGGATGAAAGACGGACAAGACAAACAATATATGCCTCTTATCAGAGCATGCCTCTTTTGGCAGATCATAAATGAATAAAGTTACTAGTTCATAACATAACAAGTTCAAACCTCTTGTTTTGCAGCATGAACCTGTTCCTCCTTGTTCAGAAGCTCTTGTTTAGACTGTTCTAGTTCCTCGTGAGTTTCCTTTAGTTGTTCTTTCAGTTTCTGTATCATGTCCTCATTTCCAGAATCTAGTCGAGCTTTAAACAAAAGATTTATACCATAATTGTTTATATATATGTTAGACAAAAAACATGAAAAATGTTCTTCACTATCATTTGAAAAAATACATGGATATAGACTTTTTTTTCAATTTTAAAAGTAGTTTTAGTCAAAGTTTGATCATTCAGGATTTTCTATTGCTGTTTGAGAGGTACTGGTGATTTGAAATCTTCAGATCTGATTTAAACAAGCACAACCTAAACCTTGCTCTTTCAAAATGAAGCAAATAAAGCAATCTTCAACAAATATAAAGTTTGTTTGCTCTTTCTTGACTCAGGGTTAAAAGAAATAGGGTCGGTAGGTAAAAGAGAAAATTCTTTCCACTTGTATGTCAACAGGATGAGAAAATACAGGGGAAAAAATATTGTTTCTTTGACTTATAAAAGTTTTGAGTTGTGCCATACAGGCATACTTAGCAATTAGTCTGTCAGGTGAGGGCAAACAAACACTTTTTTTTTTTAAAGATGACCTACTGACGTATAATTGTGAATTTACCAAGTCTGTCTTCCAGATCCTTGATGATTAACTTTAGACTGCCCACTTCCTTTCTCAGGGAGTCCTCGGTGTCTTTGGCTCGGAGTTTAGAGTCTGTCAGAATCTGCTGAAGCTCCTTGATTTCAGATCGGTATTTATTCTCCAGAGAACTTATCTGTTTCCTTAGCTGTCAACATTCGAAAAAAAAGGTTAAATGTAAAAAAACAGTTGAACTTTGGTATCTGAATACATGTACTGATATCTTGAATACCAAGGAGATATTGAAGTGATTTGAAAGACCAAACCACTTTTACACTCACTATCTTAAATCCTGTTTTTGTCAATGTACATGAAGCACTGACTTCAGGATAATGAGGTTTGACTATACTTTTTTCTTATGCATTGAAGACTGACAATTTTTCCATGGAAAAAAATCCCCAATAAATAACTGTGTAGCTAAATTCCTTAAAATATACGTATCACCACTGAGACAATATTTTAACATCTTTACCATTGACTCATGATCCTTATTGGAACTCTGATACTTCTCTAACAGTTCTTGGTATTTCTGCTTTTCTATTTTCATTTCCTAGAGTAAAATAAAGCATAAGTCAAGTGAAAATATTATTTATCAAAAATTTTTGACCACACAATATTAAGCATTCTACACCAAGTTTATGATAGCATTTGAAGATTGTTTTATTTGAGATCTTATCTATACAATGTTGTACTATGGTTACATGTACTTAGAATAAGAAGAAATTTGTTACCATGACAAAATTCTCTTTTAAGCGATCTTCCATCTGCTTCAGGGCCTTGTTATGTTTAGCCTTCTCTTTCTGGATAGCTTCTTGTAACTAAAAACCAAAGCAAGCACAGGTTATTCATAGACAAATCAATTAAGATACTTGTAAAACAAGACATTTTCATTGCTTCAGAATAAAATATTGCATTTGAATAATATGACATTAGAAGATTTTTTTCATTCAATTTTTTTAAAGAATTTAATTCAATTTTAGCATGAAACTCTTAAACAAGAAGGGCTCAGACCAAAAACTCTAATGGTAGTAGGATTGAAAGTAAACTGGTATACATGTAGTACCTTTTCAGGCCAACCCTCTGACTCAGCAATCTTTTGTCGAAAACTTTCCCTCAGCTGTTCTATTCTGTTCTGATGTGAGGTAATCATTACCTCCCTAAACACAATTTCAAAGAGAAAATGGGCAAAATGTATATAAATCCTTTAAAGATTATATGCAATCATGTTTAAATATGTTTCAATTTATTTTAATAAATTTATACAATTTAAAAAAATTAATTAGTTGTACATGTACCTCTCAGATTTCAGTTGTTCTATTTCTTCTTTTGCTTTCTCAAGATCTTGTTTGATTTCTCTACTTGCAGCTTGAATTGTAAAAAAAAAATTTGTCAAACCAAAAAATGAATACTGGTAGTACATGAGAAATGCTTGAAATGCTTTATGGTATTCTAAGCTGTCGGAAGCAATGTAGAATAACAGTATAACATACATGTACAATGAATACTTTCCATCCTTTGAATTTTTCTGCAATTTCAAATATATATCATTTGATGTCTTTTATATAATGCCATATTGAAACATTACTGAATATTTACATTTCCAAATAATTTTCCTTTAGATTCTTTGCAGATAGGAAGACTGTTCATTTTCTCATGAACTACCATAAGTGGTCACAGAGCATGAATCTCCATTGTTACGTCATAATACTGCACTTGACGTCAAAACTATAGTGCAAACTGTTGTTTTAAAAATGACTGTTGAATGGCATAAATTTTGTGGCAAATCATCAGAAAAATAATGTAAATATAAGAAATGAATTTAATTTTTGAAGATTCATGAGGTATATGAAAACGCTTCGAGCCGGCATATTTATCATGAAGTACTAACGCGCTTCATGAAATATGTCGTCATGAAGCATCATAGTTCATAACCTCATGAACCTTCAAAAATTAAATTCATTTCTTAAATACACCAATGGTAGATGACAGGATACATCAGTGGTTAATTACTGATTACCCTAGTGATACATTACTGAATACATCAGAGGTGGATTACTTTCACTTACTGACTGTCAGTGTTGCCTTTCGGTGAAATTCTTCCTCCTTTGCTTGCTGTTCGTGAATTTTATTTTCCATAGTTTTGAGTTCCTTTAATCTTGATTGTAATTCAGCTTCCTTTTGTCTCAGGTCATTTTGTAGTCTGTCAAAGTAATGAGACAAATGATAAAATGACACTATCACTGAAAACACATGTATGTGGTTATTGTCACCCCTATATTATTTTCACTCTTTCAAACTTACTTTTAATATGCCTTGTTTTAAATTTGCCCATATAGGCCATTTGCCATTGGGCAAAAATAAAAAGGGGGAGGGAAGGGCTAAATTTCCCTGTATAAAGTAATGAGGATGTTGAAAATCATTTAATATCTATTAAATTACAATGTTCATCATTTGTTTTGTAACATCATTTTTCTTTTGTAAAATTATCAAAGAAATACACGCATCTGACCTTTTAGTGGTCAATTCATTGTTTTGATCTCGCTGTCGAAACTGAGATGTCAAGTCTTCAACTTCCTTTGTTTTATTCCTACAAGAAAGAAGTATTGAGGTTTCAAAACCAAAATAAAGAAAAGTATCTAATAAAACAGTGTGGTATAATCCAAAAATACTGTGTACCTCAGTTGTTCTTTAAACTGTTGGGTCTCCATTTGAAGGCTTCTGTTTTTAGACAAATTCTCATCTAGTTCTGTCTGCATTGCTACAGAAGAATAGAAGGGCATATACATGTAATCACAGGTTTTAGAAATAATGTTCAATACTAAAAAATAACAATAAAAAGTAGATTTTCAATTCAATTCATTTAATATTGTATTCTATAGTAATAACTTCGCTAAGCTTAAAAAAGATAGCAATAAATCAAAAAGTCCTAGGACTACATATCATCTTCACCTAATTATTAAAAAAAAGTTCAGAGGTGAGTTGATAGTGCAAATGTAATTTAATTAAGCATAAAAAAAGAATTTGAAAAGGCTATGAAAACAGATGGCTTGAAAAACATTAAAACTGAGACAATTTTAAATTCTATGGAATACAGAGTATTGTAACAGTAAAATAAGGTTATAGAATAAGGTTATAGCAAATATGCTTATACATGTAATGAATTCACAATCACAGTGAAGTCACAGCAAAGGAATTTTTATGCCCCATGGTCTTCAAATGTATATGTAATATATAGAGTACCTTTTAAGGTACATTGATACTCTGATAAGAGAGATAACTCTTAATGACACAAAATTTGTCAAGTTGAAGTGCCTTTTTTGTCAAATTTTGCCCCATAAGCCATGATAAAATTGTTTGTATTTCATTTAGCATATACTTTTCTTTTGGAAAATCATAAAGGTTAAAGAAACATTTTATATGAGTAAGCAGAGGGTTTATGAACCTTAACGAGTGTATCTTCAGATATCAGACGAGAGGGCTTGTCCCCCGAGTCTGATATCTGAAGGTGCACAAGTTAAAAAGTACGTGTTTTGTTTGTATCATTGTTCCCAGGAACTGAGTTACCCATGCTCTATCACTTTTACGTTAATAGCACGTAGTTCGACTGTATTCTCATGCACTGAGTTAGCCATGATCTATCAAAATTTCATTATACAATATTATCTGACCAATGAATAAAGTGCCACGCCACAGCATGATACGCCCGTCAAAAAATTACAATTAACTTAAAACAGTTTAGAGTGCAAGAAAATCATGTAAACCTTGATTCTAAAATTTCCATGATTTTTTCTATTCCTTAAAATATTTGTTTATCCATCCTCTGTGGTGTAGGCATTAATCATAACAAATAATATCATTGATAGATTTCTATACTAGTTGTATTAGACCTTGTCAATTGCCCATCATATTAAACAATAACAAATTAGTCTTAACAACTTAATATATATATACCAAATTAATTTTGAAAATTAAAGGCTGGCCATCAAATGACATATGCTATTTAAACTGACCAGCAGTTCTTCTGTCTAATTCCCAAAGGATACAGATAAAAAGATGCTAGCTAGCCTTCCTAAATTGAACTCATTAATTAATCTTTGACTGGATGCTTGTCTACTCATTACTATAGATGAAAATCTGCACTATCTACCATAAAATATTTTTAAATCATATAATTTAAAATACTCAATGATTTTTTTTTTTTTAACATCTAATAATGTCAGAAAGGTTTTCTATGGAAAATGGACATGCTGATGCCACCCCTATGAAATTAGTTTTTTAAAATTAATAATATGATATATTATTAGATTAGTTTATTATGCAATATCAAATTAGTATTAATTACTTTTCATCAAATTCATTTGAAAACTTAGGCTAGCCAACAAGAGCTATTTTTAATCCACCAGGCTTACCCATCTGCCCAATTCCCAGAGGGATATAGATAACACCGATGCTCTCCAGTTAGCTCCTCACAATAAACTCATTAATTTCTCTCTAATTTGACATGCAATTTTCTGTTATCAAAACTCTTGACCAGTGCTTGATAATTGCACTCATGGGAGACATGGGATTTCTCTAACATACATTATATTTGTTATAGATTGCTGCCAAGTATATGCTGAAGAAAATAAGTATTTTCTTGATTTAACACTTTTTTAATAAGGATACAACTAAATTTTTACATTTTTTAGGATTAGGAAATTCAAAATTTAAAAGACTTAGTTTTTTAAAAATTTCACTTAAATTAAAGGTCACAGTGACCTTGAAATAGGTCGCGACACACCTTCTACCCAAGATGTATACATTTGCAAAGTTTGAAAGTTCAAGGTCTAATAGTTTACTAGTTATGAGCCGGACAGGATATTTCCATATTTGGCCATAGCATCTTAATTAAAGGTCAGAGCGACCTACTTTTTGCGCGCGACACACCGTCTACCCAAGAAGTATCAGTTGACAAAGTTTGATAATCCTAGGCTTAATAGTATTAAAGTTATGAGCCGGACACGAATGGACAGACGGACGGACGGACATGAAGCCTATAACATAATACGTCCCGTCTTAAGACGGGCGTATAAAAAGGAGCACGTGATTCGAAAAGTATAGAGCGCTGCATTTCTTAAACTTTGGATTACTCGCCATTCAAGTCTGAACACCATGGATGATGGTTGTGATTTTATGCTATTGCAATTCTCGATGCAAATTATGAAGGAAAATTCTTTATGTCACTTAATCTTTACACTCGTAAAAATACTAAATGGGCAATTTAAACGTTCAAGGAATACCGCACGGGAAAATGGACACTTTTGACCGAGATGTACGGCGATTCTTCAAATTACTGGATGTGTCGATTTGTGTTGGAATTAATAAAACAAGATGGCTCGGAATATTTACCTCATTTCCTGTACATGTAGTTCATTGTGTGTGCTTTGTTATGCTTCAAGTTTATGCGAGTCAAAAACATTTATTTCTAAACCCACTGTGTGAATTTCATTTTGGATTTAAAAATCGACATGCAAAATTATTTTTTTTATTTTAGGAAAGGTATTCCTTCACTTTGTTTACATGACTTTGTATTTACTTTTCCCCTAATTATTCGGTGTAAGGTCATGGGTCATTTATTAGAATTGTTTCATCATCATCCTGGCGTGCTCTATCTTGATAGATCAGAGTTGTTAGATCACAATTAGCCATGATGTATCAAAAACAAATACACAACAATCATCAAAGGAAAAACACTGCAACAATGATACATTGTGAACTTAATGGATATAACAAATTATGTTTATAACGAATCAAGATTGTTCATCCCTCGCACTTTGCTAGACTGTATTTTACTGCACATGCATTCATGTGCATCTTCAGATAACTTTCTAAAATATGATAGATCCTTCCTTACATTGGGAGTGACCAACAGGCAAAAACATGCATAAATTGTAATTAATGTGAAACTCAAAAATAATTTCATGCATAACAATTAAAACTGAATGGAAAACAAAGTAAAACTAGATTGTACCAGTCAGTGAGCATTCCAACTGAGTGATTTTGTGTTGTAGTTGCATGCTGTCGTTGACAGCTCGTTGTAATTTGACTACCTCCCCTTCCGTTGATTTCAGTTTTTCCTTCAGAGCCACCATCAATACAGATGACTCTGATTTTTCTGACTCCAAATTTTCAATTTTCTCAAACAATGCCCTGTTATCTACAAAATAAATGCTAAATATATCAGTTGGTGGATAGATGAAGTGCATATGTACCATATAAAATGTTATTCAATATTGCTTTTCTAAAACACTCTCCATTCATGTATAGAGGTTTTTGATTAGTATACCTAGTATTAAACAATTCGTAACATTGTGATTTCATTTAAGAAAAAAACTTATAATACAGTTAACATTTTTATACCAAATTCCTTGCTCATATCAGTGTACTGAAGTAATCTTTTTTTTTTACGAGCACAATGTATTACAAACATTTTGCTATCTTCATGTTTTACCAAATTATCTGATCATGTATGTCACTTCACTCTAAGCATTTTTATTGTTTAGGAAGGCTAGCATATCAGAATTAAAATTGTAGCTCTAATAGACAATAGAGTTAGGTGTTAGCAACCCTAAATGCATCCCTGATATACAAAAACCACACAAATCCTAAATGCTCACCATTGTCATGACTAGAACATCTGTCCCTGACTGTTGACAATAGGAGCGCCATCTCTTGTTTCATCTGTTTGTCCCTCTCCTCTATAAATGTGTGGATGGTTTTAATCTCCTCTCTTTGTTCTGCTAATTTGGTTCTCACTGTTGGAAGGTTTCTGTCATAAAGTGAGTGTTTTTGTCTGCAAAGATAACAGAGAGATACACTATATTACATGTATAGGGGGGGGGAAATCACATTTTATCATATAGTATATTTATAATCACAATATTTCTCATCATTGGAAACCCACAGTTGGTCTCGCTTCTGTAAGAGAAGCCAGACCGCCCATGGGTTTCTGACAATGAATATCTCTGTGCATATACAAATTATATGTAGAACTGAAAAAATTCTAGGATACTTCACCAATAGAGTGTGAGGGCTACTTTCTGGGTCTCATTCAGGGATGGCTCAGACTTTTTTTCATTGCTTTTTCAGATATAGGATTATAATTATTTCTTATGACATATTTTCACTTTATTATAATGTTTATAAAGTGAAACCCTTTTTAAATAGCAATAAACTAAATTACCTGTATTCTTCTTTAAGCTTAACTGCAGCTTCAAATTTGACCTTCAGTTGTCTATTTTCTACTTTTAGTTCCTCTTCATTTTTTATGTTGTTTTTTAATGTTGATATGCTGTAAAATAAAATTAAGTTGTCACAGTGTGTGTGTGTGTTTTAAATACCAGATCAATCCTTTTTTCTAGAGGGCTAGGATGATAAACCTGAATATTTCTATACCGTCACATCTTTATGTATCAATTCAAGTCATTTTCAACAGAACTGGTATTTTGATAAATGGTCCCAGCCCTTAGAATTCTTCCTTTGCCTTAATAACCAAATCAATGCAACAATAAGCTAAATACCTTTCTTAAATCCTTGCAATGTAAATATTGTTTAAAACATGTAGATAATTGATACTGATACTTTGGTACAGCATATCTGTAATAACTAATCTGAGATTCCTCTGACTTTAACCCCCACTTTTCTATTGTGATATATGTGTGGGGGAGTTGGGAGTTAGAGAAATCTTAGATTAATTAAAAACATGAATATATTCAAATAATTAACTAATCACATATGTTGAGTAACAAAATGTTAAATGTTTAAATTTTTTTTTTTCCAATGAAAAAATTTATATAGTTGATAAATTACCACAGAATTTGTTTCGCTTCAAGTTCCTACATAGGCGTCGGAAGGAAATTGAAAGTTGGGGGGGGGGGGGGGGCTTAACCAACTAAAAAGGTATTCTCCAGTTTTCAATGCCTCCCTCTAATATATATCTTTCAATTTTTCTAATTCAGCTTCCGTCTTTTTCAGCTTCTCTTCCACACCTATGTCATATTTTTTTGAATCACTGAATAATTTAACTACAGTATTTACACACAGTCATCGTTCGCTTTGAGATCTTTTGGATCTCGTCAGTTAAATAGTTTTTAGGTGTGTATTTTTCAAATTCTTCGTGCTCAACTCCATTTTCCATGCTGCTTCCTTTCATATCGACAAGTCTGGTCTGTTTAACATAAAGAAATACTGTGTTATTTGGACCCAAACAACTGTGAAGGGAAAAAAAAAAACAAGACACCTGTTTTGGAATCTAAATTTGACAGTCTCTGTTTATCCTGATATTAATGACATTACAATACAAGCGTATCTGTATTATTTTCAACATTGGTTTTTACATGTAACACATCAATTTTGAAGATATGTTGAATCTAGATAAAGAAGGACTGAAAAAACTTTAAGATATAAAAATTAGAAAATAATGCACATGTTGAAACTAATGAAAACAATTTCATCTTGCATATTTGCAATGCAAACAAGTTGCATCATTAGGAATATTCGGAATCAGAAGTCGGTCCAAATATAAATTTTATATTAAAATGTTAAGTATATGAATTTTATTCAACAGCTTAAAAAAAAAAGTCCATAAAATTTACACATTTATAATTATATACATGTACCTTGATTAAAAAAAACATTTTGATAGTGTTGTTTCGTTTCGTTTCGTTTCGGCAGGTTTCATTTTGATTTCGTTTAAAACCAATAAATCTTGAGAAAATTTGAAACGGTAGGAACTTCGAATATAATTTTTCGTACTGCCATGATTCGTTTCGTTTCAGTTCGTTTCGTCTCTTTCGTTTTATTTTGTTATCTTTAAGTAAAAGAGATACTTTGAAAATTTGTAAGGAAGTTACGTAGAGACTTCACTTGATCGTTAAAACAAATATTTTTTTTAATATATGTGTGATTTAAGTTGTGAGTCAAAGATTAAAAAAACATGAATATATTCAAATAATTAACTAATCACATATGTTGAGTCCACATATGTTAACTGAAATTTTTTTTCTTTCCAATGAAAAACATTTTGGTTTAAAGTAATTTACATACAGAATTTCTATGTACCATACTTGTACAATTCTTCATTTTAAAGTTTTGTTTCTCTCTTTCAGTTGCTCCATCAAAGCTCCTCACAGTGTTTTCAATTTTTCTTTTCAGCTTGAGATTTTTTCAGCTTCTCTTAAGAGCGGATTTTTAATGAAAAATATACCAATTCCACACTTTTACACACAGTCTCATCTCGTTTCATCTTTTGGATCTCGTGAGGAAGAGGGTTTTTAGGTGTGTATTTTTCAAATTCTTCGTGCTCAACTCCATTTTCCATGCTGCTTCCTTTCATATCGACAAGTCTGGTCTGTTTAACATAAAGAAATACTGTGTTATTTGGATAAACCCCAGTGCAAAGGGAAATTGTTAAACACAAAACACACTGTTTTTCGTATGACAGCTGTATTTCTGATATTAATGACATTACAATTCTATAAGCGTATCTGTATTATTGAGAACAAGTGGTTTTTGTCATAAACCTGCTTGTCCCTGGTGAAAAATCAAATTTTTGGCATGAAACTTTATCGCGTTATATCCAATTTTGAAGAAAATGAAAACAATTTCATGGCACTTGCAAGAGACAAGTTTTTGATATTCGGAAAAAAAAATATAAATTCTACTGCTAAAATGTTACGAATCAAGTATTAGCAACAGCTTATAGGGATGAGTCCTAAAATTTACTTGTTTCTAAATACAAGCTGAAACTTGTTGACAAACACTTTGAGGTCTTTCCTCCACTTGGGGGGGGGGGGGGGGGCATATTTGCGCTCAAAAATAAAAACCAATAAATACTAAAAATGAGAAAATTTGAAACAAAAAGGAACTTCGAATATAATTTTTCTACTGCCATGATTGAATCTCCGTCAGTCTCTTTTTTTATTTTGTTATCTGATAAGAAAAAAGAGATAGGTTGAAAATAAGTAAGGAAGTTACGTAGATACTTCACTTGATCGTTAAAACAAATACAAGTAACAGCTTTTCAAAAAGCTTGCCTGACTTAATCAATCAATATCTGTAAGAGAAGTAATATAAACCTTTTGAGCAGTACTTTTTTGTTTGAAATATGTCTTTTTATTTGAGAACCTTGTAAAAATATTTAATTATTTAACTTGTAGAAGAACGATGCCTTTGCTGCATTCTGAAGAGTTTTTAACAGAATGGTTAATGTATGTGGGTTTTCTGCCAACAAGTTTGTAAAACTCCTAGGTAGGGAAGAAGACCACAAATGTATTGTTAATTTATACGCCATGACAACGCCCTCTCCCCTTTTCACAAAATATAAATAAAAGCATGGATGATGTATATAGACCTATTATCTGTCAAAAATATGGAGCTAATTTTATTCAATGTAATGATATTTCTAAAATATAAGTTATAAAGTTCTAAAAATATTTTTATTCAACAGGAAATGTAGAAATTTTTAACATCCGATGCAAGATACATTCGAGTTCGTTTTTCGGGACCTAGGTACACGACGATTCGGGACTGATGCGATTGACTTTTCTGCAAGTAGATTGATCTACCCCTGGACTTCTAAATTTAAAGCTAATTATTCTGAAATCTGTTGTCAAATCATTCATTTAGAACATTTTAGAGAATGGATATAACTAAATAAAAATGTTGCTAAAAAAGTATTTTTTTGAAGTAAACAGTAGTAGTTTGATAAATATCATTAATCTTTGAAATAAAATAATTTTTTTTAGAACGAAATAGGTAAAACCAACATTTAGGCCTTTGTGGAAAAGAAATCCAAGATTTCGCACAGGTAACACAATTTCTTTCGTCAAATCGTCTGGAATCTGGTTGAACTGTGTCGATCGTTTGTGGTGATTGGACTAGTCCATTAAAATTTGGAATAAACCAACAGAGGGGAAACAAATTAGAGAAATCATTTCTTTTGTTTTGCATGTCCATATTCTGATACATGTATACGATTCATATGTTGTTTTAAGGAATAAGAAAAAAATTGTAAACAGAATTTCTGAATCATAAGAAGATGGAGGTTACAATAACAAACTTTATTTAAATCCATGGAAGTTAGCACCCCCATTCATACAATAGAACAATCCAAGAAAAGGCGCGAAAAGATTGTGTGACATTTGGCGCGAAAAGAAATTATTTCGTAGAATAAAAATGGACTGAAGTCTAAAAATAGAAAAAAAATATCGGACACGTTGAAACGGTAAATTAAATGGAATAACCTGTTTCATGCAAACAATATTTAACAAAGTAAATAATTATTTGGCATCATCAAAATTGTTTCAATAAAAATGTTTTTTTAAAATGCAGGTAAAAGATTTCCAATGTAAATCAGCTTTCAAAATAGCTCTTTTTATTCAAAAAGTTTCGGATCAAGCAATTATCAATCCTTATACAGCCTGACGCCGTGACGTCAGGCAATAATTTTTTTAAAAACCAAAGCTGATTTAACTTGTGAGTCAAAGTCAAAAATAAGATTAATACTCACATAATTGCCATCAGTTTGTGTCCCCAAGTGTATATTGACCTTGACCTTTGACATAGACCCACCTTTATGGTTTAAAGTATTTTGACATCGCGCAGGTGCTATGTACCATACTTGTACAATTCTTCATTTTAAAGTTTTGTTTTGATTAAACGAGGAAAGAAACGAAGACCATCAAAGCTGCTCAGTGTTTTCGAGTTTTTATTTGGGAGGCTTGAGATTTCATCAAGAGTAGTAAAAGCGGATTTTTAAAGAAAAATATACCAATTGTTAAGTTGACCTGTTGCATGTCTATCATTTTTTTTTAAAACGCGGCGACGCCGAGTATGGACTGTGGACAAGGGATGCTTACTCCTACAATAGCACCAATTCTGGTCGGTTCTACAGATCTACATTCATGGATAGTTGCTGATACACCCCAGTGCAAATCACGACATGTTAGAACACAAAACACACAATTCGTATCCAGTAATACAAGGTGCGGAGAAAAAAACAGCGACACTCCGCGTCCCGTCCACTCTTGAGAACAAGTGGATGTCATAATCTGCTTGTCCCTGGTGACGAATCAAATTTTTGGCATGAAAGTTTTCTTCTGCTTATATCCAATTTTAAGAAAATGAAAAATGAAAATGGTTTGACAAGAGACTAAGTTTTTGATAAAAAAAAAAAAACATATCGCATTAACATCAGAAGTAGTTTGAAAAGAAATCTAAAGCAAGCTTTAATCTTTTTTATTACTTGGTGAAAACAAGCTTTAGAAGGGAGGATCATCATGCGGA